ACCTTGGACTTTTGACTCCGTCCATTCGACGAACTGGACACCGGGCCCGATGGATTGCGGTTTTCACAGGACACGCAGCTGTCTACGGGACAGAACAGGCAGATCACAGGACTTGCGGTGGAGGCAGAATCAGTCCAGTTTCTTGCACCAGTGAACCTAGAAGCACCACGGGGCTCCGACAGTTGTATTATTTCGTTCTCGTACGCGTGGTTAGGTGCGGTTCTGGAAAAGGAAAACGCACTTCTGGTGGGTCTTCTGAGTGACAGTACACGTCTGAGGTTTTACCAGGATTAAAGCAACAGCTCGCAACCAACCGCCCCTAGCTACCCGAAGTAAAAGGTGTGTTGGGAGAAGAAGCATTTCCTAAAAGTGGTGGTGCTGTATGTTGAGAAAATTTTCAGTACGTAATGTGCAATAATGCAAACCTCATATATACGACTAGAAGCACTCAAGCAAGCGAGCCAAATATGATATCCAGAGAGAGGCAAACAGTCGCCCACGTTCTCAAACAACGCAGGTGGTACTCCGAAAAACAGGACCTGGGCAACCGTGGTCGGTAATCCAAAAGAGATTCGTAATATAGACGAGCAGCCAGCGCCAAGGCCAGAGGGCAGCAAGCTGGACTTCGGCCTAACCTGCAAGGATGTTGAATATTCGACCCAAGGTGTCTCCTGGAACCTCTAGGATGCCATTGTAGCTGCAACACCCGGGCAAGAAGCAGTCAGCCCCTCGGACCCTACGTTCGAGGGCACAATCAAAAACCATTCGTTATGGGACATGAACTGCAAGCAATTGAACCACAGATTTGATACACAAATGCTTGCAGCATCCAAGGAAATTAGGGGAAATTGGCCACCAGAGTAATAGGGTGTGCAGTAGCTGCCATCACCAAAATCTGGTGAAGTCCAAATAATGTAGCTACACAGATCCTAAGCGACATAACCTACAGACAGGACAGGACAAATGGAAGATTAGGAGGTGCGACTGCAATTCTAGCACATCAAAATCATTGAAGTTGGGAGGCTCCGTTTAAAATGGATTCTAACAACATCCAGGTCACGTCCTGTTTCGTAAACTTTGAATTTAAAAAATATTGTCAATCCCTTTTCTAGTGGGCAGGGGAATGACGACCTACTGAGAGTACTGCAAACAGTACTCGCTAGAACTAGGGAGTTCGTTATTCTGGATAACTTTACCTTTTCGGTCATCAGCTTGGAGTCTAGGAGCGCGCCCAGAGGATCCACGGATGAAGCATTTCTACAAAGGTTGCAACTGCACGGGCTGGTTCAACACACAACGATACCAACAAGACCCCGAGGGAGTCCATCGCCGTCATTACTAGATCTGTCGATCACAAAGTTCCATGAGGATATCATAGATTTGAGGGTTGAGTTACCTCTTGGTAAAAGGGACCGTGTAGTGATGGAGGCCTCACTTTCCATACACAAAACACTGTCTCAAGCAGCCTCAATTAGGTGTACGTCGACCAATTCGCACTTGAGTGACGCGTAGCCGAACCGATACGAATCCCGAAGTAAAAACACAATTAACCGCAATGTTCTACGGTACTGAATTAACGAAATTATTACAATGAGAATCCCGAAGTAAAAACACAACTGATCCGCAATGTTCTACGGTACTGAATTAACGAAATGATTACAAAATTTACAATAAAGCAAACCTAAAATATGCGGCCAAAAGCACTCAAATAAGCGAGCCAAATATGACGTCCAGATAGAGGCAAACAGTCGCTCACGTTCTCAAACCACGCGAAATTCAAATGTGCCGGGCATCGAATGAACAGATAAATAATAATGTATGATTTTTGTGTTTGGGGAATGTCCATAGAGAAGCAACACACAGATCGAGTTATGTCACCATAACTCATGGTTTCAGAAGGATTTTCAAAAATTCAATAATAAATACATTGGGTGCTATGGGAAATTAAGGATAGGAGAAATTAAAAGGGCTGCGGCAACAATGTCCTTGGTACCGAACCATCCCGATCCTAACCTAGAAGAAAGATGGGAAGTAGTCAAAAACGGATTGCTTAGGCTAACAGCGGATTTCGTACCTCTGATGCCATCCAGAGAATAACGGCAGCCTCCGTGGTGTCGACCAAGAGTGAAGAGGGCAGTGGACATCCAGAGGAAAAGATGGGTAGCCTACGCCACGTAACACATCAGCTAGAAATTTGATAGCTATAAACAGACCCGTAATAAAGCCCAAGCTGTTCAAAGGCAAGAGAATTTCCTTTTCGAGTGTAGGTTAGCCAGATCAGCGAAGGTGAATCCAAAAGGATTCTATGCCTATGTACAGTCTAAAGGGAGAATGAGGGAAAATGTGGCTGCACTAGAGGATCTGGATGGCCAACTGGCAGTGACAAATCCGAACACCTAAATAATTCAAATCAATCCATTGCCCATCGAAGCCCCGAAACCCAAATGAATGTGCTCTCAGAAGCAAGCTGTTATGCAGCTGACAGAGAAACATGTATTTGAGAACTGTATAAACTTGTTGTGCCCTTCTTTCCCATTCATTTCTATCCACAAGTCTCCATCTCCTCCAGTTCATAGTCTCACAGACCATCGATCCGTATTTTCCTTCCATTAATTCCGCATGTCGAATCCTCTCGATACAAGGTTCGCTCTTCCTTTATTCTCCGTTTGACATGCTCACCCAGTTTATTCCTCCATCCTCCAAATAAACGTAGTGACCTTGTCCGCTTTGTGTTCCATTCGCACTGCGTTTTCATTCCGGTCTCCCGCCGTCTTCATTGTGTATATCTTCCAATTGGACCTTCCATATATCTGCACCTTCGATGTACATATGACTATTTTGAACATATGATCATGCTTTGTGCATGCTTCACGGGCTTCGTGAAATATACATTATTATTAAAAGGCCAGGACACTCCTGGTAGTGCACAAAGGGATATATTGCTCATCACAGGAGACCCAAGAGGACCCGGACTGGCAGAGAAACTATAACCTGCCCAGTTTATATGAGCTGTGGGTGAACGAAGGTACTGTCAAGGGAGAGCTACACACCCTATGTAAATACAAGGCTGCTGGGTCAGATGGAATCCATCCGGCCGTAGGTCAACCACTGGCCGAAGTCTTGGCTCTACGAGTGATGTTGCTTTACGTGGTTTCACTCAGTGAGGGAAACCTTCCTGGAGAATGGAAGACGGCAACATTGGTTAGTATATATAAGGGTGTCCCACGAACTATAGGCCAGTTAACCTAACGTGTTCTATGAAAATGCCTAGAACCTATCGTGAGGCGACAGTTATGTGAGCATCTTATGGTACACAGAATTATAACATCTGCACCGAATGGATTTGTAACATGCAAGTCATGTCTTACAAATCTACCGCTGTTCTTAGATGATATGACCTGGAGACTCGACGAAGGCTTCACTGTGGAAATCTGTTACATGGACTTCAGTAAAGCTTTCGACTCGGTCAATCACAGATATCTGGACTACAAGATGCAAACAGTCGGCATTGAAGGGATAGCCAGGATCAGGGTGAATAACTTCTTTAGGGGAGGTCTTTCAGAGTAAGAGTTGGCACGTATACTACAGACCCTTCAGATGTGTTCAGTGGCGTACCCGAACGGTATTTGGTCAAAACCACAAGGATTACGAGGATAGACTGAAAGACTTAAACTTATTTTCCCTTTGACGCAGACGCATGAGGGGTGACTTCATTGAAACGTTGAAAATAATGAACCGTTTGCTGGGCATCAAAAGTGAGGAACTATTCTCTACGATCCCAGCAAGTGGCACCAGGAGGCATAGCTTCAGACTCCAGCGTAATCACAGTAGGCTGCAACTCCAGGCAACGTTGTTCACTAACAGGGTAATCCCACTGTGGAATAGGCTGCCAGAACACGTCGTGAGATGCAGCACAGTAGTTGCATTCAAGATCGCCCTGAATGAGTTTTGGAGAACCGTCTACCCAGAAGCCTTCTGAGGAATAAGGAGCTAAGAAAACACAGACGGACTCTAGCCAGTAATGTTTGATGTTTACAGATGTGGATGTATGCTAGAGATAGGTTTTTCTCGTAGGTATTTTCTATGAATGCGCTAGGTGCCAACATTTTCCATGTTATGCAAATTCCGCTAGGTGCCAATGGTCAGGATCAGGGTCCTTCATACTAACCTATAGCAGCTTGGTCCAGGCCTAGACCGCTGAGTCCCATTTGTCTATTTTCAGAAACACCCCACCTGGGAACGTGTACTGAGGATTGAGACAGCAAGACCGACCAACGGTCGATCGCTGGAATGGACAATACGCAGTGTTGGAAGCTACAAACACCCGCCAACGACACAAAAATCTGGAAGTTGAAGCCACAATTTGTCTTGTGAATTGAACTGAATTGCGAGACTCTTACTGCTGTGTTTACATTTCGTTTACATTCCAAAGAAAGTCATACAAACAAATTGATGGTGTGGCCATGGGTAACCCATTGAGACCAGTACTTCTGGATTTATTCATGGCACACTTGGAATCTCAAGCTCAGAATTTACTGAAACCAGCTACGTTATACAGAATATATGCTAATTATCTACTCATTATCACAGATAATGTGAAGCAGACCAAGGATATTCTCAAAGGCCTCAATCGGCCACAACCACACATTCGATTCAGAATAGAAACCAGACAGAACAATAGCCTGGGCTTCTTTGATATAAATATCACCCGAAAGGCGGATGGAACTAGGTCACTATCGGTCTGTCGTAAAACAACTTGGATAGGTTAGTACATGCACTTTGAAAGTTTTGTTCTAATTCCGTATAAACGTGGTTTTGTTCATACCTTCTTCGATAGAGCTCATCGAATTTGCAATGATGACACGATATCAAATGATATCAGCTTTTGCGTCACACTACCAAAAAATGACCATCCCGAGGAGTTTGTTGACAAGCACAGTAGATCGAAGTTTAAAACGCTCGTTGTTGCGTCAGCGTCTAGTTTGGAGATAACGATTTATCTTCCATTCAAATGTGATGATGTACCTAATATTATCCAACAACGGTCACGGTCGGTTGTAAGCCGGACCTATTACGCAACCAAACCCAGAATTGTGCGCAGAACAAGGAGTATACCCGTCCCCCGGTTAAAGAACACATTTTTAGGCCAACTCAAACGTAATCTATCAATTCCAATGTGGGTGTGGAGACATGTACATAGGCAGAACAGAAAGGCAATTACGTAATCAGGTTTTAGAACACATTCCGAACTGGGATCAACTGAAATTTGCCATGGCAAATTTCTGACAGCCGGTAACTGGTAAGGTACATGCTTACAAACCACCAAGCTCATTGATAGCCAAGGACTTGTTGATGATGCAACACCTCGTGGATCGTGAGAAAGCATTTCGAGTGATTTTTACTAACGATAACACCAGGGTGCTCAAGATCGCCGAGGCGATTGCAACCGATGAAAACCAACTCTGTGTCAACAGAAAGACTTGTTCGTCACCTTGGCTTTGCTTTGGTGACGCCTCCCTCATTTACAAGTGTTTATTTTGGTTTTAATTCTCAAACCCCATATAAATATGTAAATATTTGTATTAGGCACTAGTTGAGATGCAGCGAAATCGTCCAGGACATACATCGTGCAATGTTGTTATAAGGGTTTCCGCTTCATATCCATAATAATTTTGACCCACCATGCATCCGTTTAGCGTTGTTTCGCTACCGTTCTTTGCGTGCTTTGCTTTGAAACAGGTGGGTGATCTTTTCGGGAACGAGTATCGTTTGGATGTTTCTCAAGCGATTCTGCATATATTTTTCATGGATGATTCTCTGAAATCCGTAATGGACGATAATGAAGAGATTTTTCTTATCGAAGGTTTGTGGAGTTTAGTGAAACTGAGCGATTTCAAGCTTACAAAGTTGTTAAGTAACAGTCGAGGAGTATTATACAATATTCCTGAATATTTGTGAAGTACATCAGTGGAAAATATGGAAATCGAGCGTTTTTCAACACAGCTAACTTTGGGGTTATCGTAGGCTGTACAGCAGGATGTGTTTGCGTTTCAGTTCGAGGTGTCAGTACCTCCACATACGCGGAGAGACTATTGTCTCAGCTATCTTCCATATTCGATCCGTTAGGATAGATAGAACCTCATGCTTTTCCTTTCACAATCATATTTCAGATGTTGTGTAGACAAACCATAGGGTGAGAGAAACCAATTGTTCCAGCCGTGATTAAAAAATGGCGTCAGCCCATGGAGGTTCTAACTGAGATTAGTCACTTAGATGGTATGCTTGTACCGTAGAAGAGACACGGGGTAGAATCAAGTTGCCACCCTTTCGTCTGGAACTGTTGAAGTATTACACGGGTGCGAGACTAGGCCAAATGGTTCCGAATCTTAGTAGTTTCCAAGGTTTCTTCTGGTCCTGTGTCCCGGTGAGCCGGGTACGGACAAGGCTCTACTACGGCGAATGTTTGGGGATTAGAGTGAGTCCGCGTCCTGTTTGTATAGGAAGGTTACCTGAAATGAGGTAAGAGGAGGGGAGAGGGGTGCAGGATCTGCATGCAGTGCGAGAAATCGGAAATTACAGGAAAAATACTATGAATAGCACTGTAAGGCACAGAGGTGTTTACGTTTCAGGGATTAGACCAAGAGACTGACCTAGGTTCCTTTTGAAAGAGAATCTTGTGGGGGCATTAACTA